TAAATAAAAGTAGGATTTAGTTATGAGGACACTCAAGTTCCTCTGCAAAGTCTGATCATAGAACATCCTTTGTAAGGCAAGACTCAGCCTGAATCCTTAGGCTGGTCATTCAGCCAGGTTGATCCCAAGTCTAAGACAGCTGATATTTAAATGATGTACTGATTAAGTACTGGGTCTCTGGTGGTCGAGTTCTGATGAATCAGCCTGGAGAAAGGATAGATCTAATAGTGTAGTGGCTGTTCTTACATTTTTGGCTTTTGGGCACCCTTTTATGATCTAGCTACTGCACCTTCCCCCAAGCACACATGCATACCAAAAGGAAGATGAAAAGAAAAGAAAGAAGACATCACCTTTGCCCCATTTCTTAAAAAAGTGCATCATATATGTAAGTCAGTACGTCTGAATTTTGTTTGCTTTTATGCAGTGTGTCCATATTCATTTTGTTATATATATTTCTTGATTCTCTACATTCACATTTTAGGGTTTTGGAGAATCCTAGCCTCCATCCAAGTGGAGTGTACTTTGTCAAATTTATTTCCTTTACATGATTGGAATATAAAGCTAGAGTGAAATTAGACTCATGCTATGGCCTATTGTATTAACAGTTGATGATTTTGCTGAAAACATCTCAAAAAAAGAAAAGAAAAGAAAAGGTTGTAAACTTGTAATGATTAAGTACTTAACATTTACACTTTACACTCTAATCCAGTGTTTTAAAAGTGAGAATGGCAACTAAAACACAGGATTCCTACTTCCTAGAGATTGAGGTGCAAGACACAAGGTAAATAACCAAACAAAGTGAGGCACCACTTCTGAAAAAGCAATCAAAAGAAAATTTCAATATACAACAATATCATCATTGTCATCATCTAAGCCTTGTCCCAACCATATGGGGTCAGCTACATGAATCCTGTTTCGCCATTCCATTCTGGTCAGTGCCATATCCATTGTTAAATTATGAGAAAGGTTCAAAGTATCGGAAATGCAAGGTGTATTGGAAAGACAATTTTAAGAAACGTATCGGGATACGTTTTAGATACGCATGGATACGGACGAAAAATCAAGATACGCATAAATATGATAGGAAATTCAAATAAATCATAAAAAATATATTAGTAACAATACTTACAAGTTTTATATGATTGTAAATAAGTCATTTAAATGTAAAAAACCATAATTTAATGTTTATATAAAATGTGACATATCAAGATATAATTAATAACCGTTGAAAAATGATGGAATAACTAAAATGTGATAAAAGCAAAAAAAACTAAAATGTGAATGTACATACATCAACTTTCAAATAACCAATATAATTTATCTTAATATTTATTAGTATATAAATTTTAATAATTAATTTCAGCATTTATTAATAAGCACCACTAAAAAAAAGATGAAACTTACTTAAAACTAAAAATGTATATAATTGTAAGTTGTAACAAACAAATTGGAGTGGCTTAGTGGCAAAGTTATGGGCATTAAAATCTAGTGACCAAGGTTCAAGTCTTGCTATTGCTAACATTTGTAGTTTTTATACTAACAAAACGAAATTAATGAGAGAGAGGATCATTAATTAATCGAATTAATGAGAGAATTGGAATTAGGCACTAAAATTCAAATTTGAATTTAAATTTGGTTTAAATATGGGACTAATTAACTAATTAATGAAGGAGAAGTTAGACATAAATACAGGAGTAAGAAACTACATTAATGAGAGAGATTCTGTTATGGACGCATTCGTGGGGAAGAAGTACCGCCGCCGGCAGCAGCAGTAACGTGGGACCCTCATCAAATTATCTAGCTAGCTACAGTTCATCTTAACTAATCCTTATCTTATCTGCTTTCTTACTCTTATCTTATCTGTTCCAATAAGGATTAGTATAGAGTCTGATTTATCTTAGGGAGTTTTTATCCTTCTTGAGTAGGGAGTCTTATCTATCTTATCTATAAGCAGTTTAGTTAGTCTTAACTAGGAGTCTTATCTATCTTTTCTGTAAGCAGTTTAGTTATCAAGGAGTCTTCCTACAAGGAGGACTCTTACCTCTTGTAATCTCCTATTTAAGGAGCTGRAATTATTGAATAAAGATATCARATTTCCAGTCAAGAAAGAGAGTAAAAGGAGAGTTCGATGATCTCTTGAACAAATCACCCTCTAGGACGCCAAGATAGGTTCAGCTAGGAAGGGGAGGAACAAGGGAAAACAGGAGCTTTTCCCCGTGGACCGACCCGTGACGAGATCCTATTCCCGGGCCCATAACAGATTCGGTATTAAATATAAATTAACCAAATTAATGGAAGAAGGGGAACGAAACAATTCAATTTGTATCGGCTTGTTTCGGGCTCGTATTGGCTGATACATATCCGAAACAGCCCGATACGGACCTGTATCGTCCGATACATACGAAAAGAAATGGAACAATACATATCGGCCGATACGGCCCGATACGTTACGATATTTTAAACCTTGATTATGAGTGCTTAAATCATTTCTTATTATTTTCACTCAAGTCCTTTTTGGTCTGCCCCTGGCTCTTTTAGGGTTCAATGTTAATGGCTTAGAATACTATGTTGTCAACACATGCTTACTTCCATGCGTTCAAGTCCTACATAAACTAAATTGTTTAAATTCTAAGCATTTTTTATAGGAAACGGTAACTTCATTAGCTTGAAAAACAGAAATACAACTGTCACCTATAGAAGTAAAAGGTGACCCCTGATCATAAAATCAAATTATAACACAGCCCAAAACAAAGACTCTCTATTCACTCCTTGCCTTGCTAGATTGTCAGCTAAAGCATTTGCTGACCTCCTAGTCCAATTAACAAGTACACCCATCTCTCTTGTGAGGCTCAATAATTCCCTTACAGGTTGCCTAAGGGACCACATTCCCAAACTATTTGTTTGCAACCAACCTACTACTAATTTTGAGTCTCCCTCCACTTCTACCTGTTGAATACCCAATTGCTTAGCCAATCTGAGACCTTGGCGGAGGGCCAACGCTTCTGCTCTAAGCAAGTCCCCCAATCTTATTGGATCAAAATACATAGCTAGGATCCTTCCTCCCGCATCTCTAAACACACCCCCAATTCCAGATGGTCCAAGGTTCCCCACAAAGTTGCCACCAAAGCTTAGTTTCACATTACACTGCAAAGGAGGGGACCAAACTGCTTGTATGGTAGAACATGAAAAAGAAGACCCTGCTATTATACTACATCCTCTAGTCAAGTCATCCATACAGACATCCTTGAAGAAGTAGAGTTTTCAGCCAATGTAGCATTGATGACAATCCCTTCTATATAAGTTCAGGAACTGGTTTTTCTTTCCCTTGGAAAATCCTGTTATTTCTCTCTTTCCAAACTAACCATAGGATAGCTGCCCTCATTGTTCTCCACGTCACCCTTCCCTTCTTCTTTGGTTGTCGAAAGAAAACTAGGGTCAAGGAGATCCTCTACACTTGAGGGAGGATTCCACCTGCAATCAAAGAGAGAGGAGAACCAATCCCAAATAAGAGCAATAAAAGGACAATATATTAATAAATGATTCATCATCTCACCACTTCTCAAGCACAAGATACAGACATGTGGARACAAGCACCAATTTGGTCTTTTTCTTTGAAGCACTTCCATGGTATTAATTTTTTGGAGAACCACTTCCCAACAAAAAACCCTTACCTTTGGAGGTACGAAAGCACTCCAAACTTCTTTAACAAGAAAGGAGGTAACCAGGTTTGTTGGGAGCACCAAAGCATTGAAGAAGGAAGAACAAGAAAAACAACCTGAAGAGGTTTCAGTCCAGATTCGACTATCACGACAGGATTGGTCCAAGAAAACTGAGCTGAGAAGAGAAAAAAGTTCATTTGCCAATCCCACTTCTAAGTCCCTCAAACCTCTCCTTAGTCCTAGATCCCAAGAATCCCCAAAGACATGAAAAGAAGAAATAACTAGAAATTTTTTCAAAGAGAGGGAATAGATGAGTTCTATTCAACATTAAGTTGCATATTCAAAAAAAGATTGCAACAAGCCAGGTGAGGAACATCTAGGTTTAGGAGAGGAGCACCCCACAAAATAAGCCTCACTTGGGATCCTATGCATGCACAAGACACACCTTCAAAAAACTACTCTATTACTCTAATCATTAACAATAAAGAATCTTTCTGGCCAGTGATCCCAAGGAAGTGTCATGACCCACCTGATAACCAGACATACAAACATCCAGTCACAAAACCAGCTTCTATATAGGAAAATTAATAAATTCTCAAACGCATCCATTTCTAAATACGGTGCAAAACTGTTTTGTCCGACTCTTGGTTCAATCGGCCTCGATAATTTGGTTGACCAGTAGGTACCTCATTTCAACTCCGCAACTATTGTTGAATTACCATTTCCAAGATTCACTTGTTTGTTCACAGCACCTCCCCCCCCCCAAAAAAAAAAAAAAAAAAAAATGTAAAATTAGTAGAATAAGAAACCCAGGACATCCAATTCCCATCATCTGATATTGGCAATGACCTTAAAATCATTATGATAAGCACCCAAGACGGTAATAAGACCAAGCCCAGCATACAGAACATTTCCTATTTCGCCCTTTTTCCAACCATCCGACAATAGTACAATTCAATAGAAACAAGTCTTGAAAATGAACTAAACCCCCTAACAACGCATTGCTTTACTTTGTGTTAATCTGTGAATAACATAAATTAGCACTATTTTTCAAAGAGGCCTAAACGAAACAGAAGGAAATTAATTCAAACACCGACACGAAGATTGCTCACATGCATCTCCTCAAATCAAAGAGCACAACATATAATCTCCTGAAATTATAGATGATTAAGCATGACTCGAAGCACAACATAACAAATAATATAATCTTTCCCCTTGTATTTCTGGCACAACGGAATCGGTAACGCATGACAAAATTGCAAGTCAAAGAGCCTCTTCTGCTGAAATTTGGAGTTACATAACGGAGAATATTAAATCGAGGAATTGAGATGTGATTAGTACCTTCGATCGTCATCGCCATTTCGGCAACTGGGAGGTCTAATAACGAGAAACAGAAGAAACAGAGAGAGCGAGAAGAAGTGGATGACCCCAAAGAGGAAAGTTTTGTCAGCCAAAGACAGAACTACAACGTCAAAATCCACTACCTATGTCGTTACTTTGCGCCGGGTGTGTCGTTAACCATATACATAACAATAGCTGTATCACCTTTGTTTTCACGCTTCCACTCCAAAATCTCAATTCTGTTGTACTGGTCTTCACTCTTCAGAAGTTGATCAATCCCCCATTAAATCATGAATTCATGATTGGAGCTTACTCAGTCCATTCGCAACTTCGCCTGGAGCTACCTGGGCCCATGAGCCGAGCTTCAGCCACAATATAATGAGCCTTTGACCTTGATTAATGATTAGATTACACCAAAACCCAATAACAAAGAGAAAAGGAAGCCCTACGGGTTGTTTGATAGGGCTGAAAATGGACCCGATCCGTTTATCGAATTCAAATATCTGATAAAGGAAAGGTACGGGCCTTTCTCTATTTTTTCCTTCAAACCAAATACAGCCTTATATTTTATATTATTTTGTATGTATTTATATTATACATATTTATATTTATACTCTTTTCAAACTGAACCTAAGGATTAAAGAACAAAACTAATTAACCATTGGAAGAATTTTTAGCTAATTCTACGCCAGAACTCCCTCGGGATATTAAATAGTTGTATTAGTTGCACGAATTTGTTACAAGAAGTCAACAACCATATATATAAGTGTGTACATAGCTAAAGTGCAAGTTATATTCAATTTAAAACATTAGTTTGAATTCCATCAAGTGATGTGTAGGCCTGTTCATGGCCGGGCTTGGGCTTGATTTTGCCTTGAATGTACTCAACCCGAAGCCTGAGCCTGATATAGTGTAAAGTCAGGCTTTAAGCCTGACCCATAAACAGGTCCACGTATGATTTTCAGACTGTTGCAAGGATTTTTCTTCATGGGCTCATTTGTGTAACGTGGGCCTGATGGGTTTGATCATCAACACCCCCATTAAGCTGAGCATGGAGGAGAATATGTTCAACCTAGAGAGTAGTAAAGTGAAGTGCTGTTTAGACCTTTTGAGTGGAGGGTTAATGACATTCCATGTGAAGTTCATGCAATGAGTGAAGCCTAGGTTATGGTACTCTAATTCAATGCCGGGAGTGAGATACCGTGGCTTGCTTACGAGGCCCAAGATACCAAATTTTCACCCAAAAAAGATATAGAAGCGACACTAAGATTTTCTACCATTAGGGCATCCTGACTACTCTTGATATTAAGCATGCTTGAATATGTAAAGGAGAGGATCGCTTTAGTAGTAGTCCATGAGTGGCGATGCACTTTAGATAGCATGAGATTCTCTTCACTAATGATAACCAATTTGTAGTGGGAGTTTGAAACTTTGAATAAACTGCCTAGTTTTATTAATTGCAAATAGACCTATTTATGCGCAGGGCCGGACCAAGTTTGCGCCGAGCTTTCTATGTGTCAACAGAAAACATTCATGCCTGAGTCTAAGCCTGGCCCGACCATTAGCCCTTGATCTTGAGTTCAAGTCTGGCCCTCATATAAAGTTTGAAGTTCGGGCCAGGCCAGAAATTTGAAACATAATTGTTTTTCTTTTTTTTTATTCAATAAAATAGTTTTTTATTTATATTAAAAGCCCTCAAAACTCAAAATAATAAAAGATCTCACTATTACTTGAAAAAAGAGAAGAGGAACAAAGAAAAAATATTTTGTGTGTGTATCTATCTATCTATATTAAATATTTAATATATATATATTAAATAAAATATTTTTATTATATAATATATTATAAAGTCGGACTTGGGCTCGGGCTCGGACTAGGCTTTTTTAGAAAGGTAGAACTCAGCCCGAAAAAGTCGAGCCCGAACCCGTGGGCCTAAAATCATGTCCAAGCCCGACTTAGAACAGGCGGGGCAAGGGCCGACCCATGAACAGGTCTAATTGCAAATGACATTTTAGGGCACATAATAGTGACATATTGTAAAGCACTCACAATGTGATGATATCAAGGGATTGGGAAATGTATCACCATCAGTTCTAGAGGGCAGAGTACCAAGTAAAAATTGGTGTTTGAAGTGGTATAGCATCAAACATATTTGCAACTTGTGGTGTAAGTTGCTAATGTACCTGCATTGAGATAGGTGCAAGCCAACAAAGGAGAAATAAGGTTCAATACCAAGGAAGTAATTAAGATGTAATGAGTGCCAAGATTCCTCATAACAAATGTCCAACCAAGAGTGTCACATGCTGCTTTCCAAGGTTTTAAAAACCAACCCAAAATCAGAATCATTCTAACCACCAGTTTTCGGGTCAGTAATTTGGCAATTTGGCTCAAATGGATGGCTCATTCTAACTTAAAAAAAAAACAAAAATAATTAAAATAAAAAACGGTCAAAAACTACTGAATGGATCGACAGTTCAATCGCCCGAGTCAGTAGGTCATTGACCAAATCAACGGTTTTTGGCCAAAGACCGGGTTAAGGGTGAAATGGAACTAGTTATGTGAATGATTTTTAGGCAAAATGGTCTGACCAGCCAAGTCAATTATGGTTCAAAAACAATACTACTTTCAAATTTCAATGGCCCTATAACAATGAGGTCATTGACATAAACAAGCACCAGAACTACAAAGGAGCCAAAGTGGTGTATAAGGAGAGATGAGTCCATTTTATGAAAAATATGTCTTTTACTCTATTATTTTCTTCCAAAAATTGATACAAAGTGGTGTATAAGGAGAGATGAGTCCATTACAAAAATGTGTCCTCCCCTTTTTTTCTAAAATGGACTAACACCTCCCCTTTAAATGTCGTGACAAATACCTCCCCTTCATTAGTAATCCATCAACAACCGTTTGCATCTAACAACATCTAGTGTGAATTTTTTTTGAGAACCCATCTTTGCCCCTTTGGTCATAATCAACAGAAAGGCTCTCACAGTTTTGTTGTCTTCGTCCATGTTGCCCAGACCCAACATGTGAAACTGCGGCATGAGCAACAAAGACTTTGTGATCGATGTGGTTTCCTGCAACCATTGCGACTTCTGTAGGAGCAATGGTGAAGCCAGGAGTTGTTGAGGTTTATGCTGAAGAAGATAGTTTTCATTTCGTCTCCCAACAAACACTAGGTCATAATCCCCACCCTTTCACCCCAATTTTTCATTCATTGATTAATTGGTCAATTGAACTACTCTACCTTTTGCCCCTTACGATGGAGAAGAAAGAGTTCAGATCGGCGTACTGGTCATACGGGAATGACAAGAAACTCGAGACAGACATTCCATGGATTCCACCATGAAATCGTGAGGCTTACGATTCTGAGTTGAAGAGGCAAAGGTGAGTGACAAAATATGATCAATGGATCAAGAATAAGTGCTATGAGAATGCATCCATGTTCATTTGTTTGTTAACAACAGAGGAATGCAAAGGAAGAAAAGGGGTTATCTCGAGGAATTGGAATTTGGAATAGAACAAAGATCCAGAATCTGTGAGGAATCTCTTTTATGTATGTCTGAAATAGCTTTTATTTGTTAATTGCATTTTCACATAACCTGTAAAGCTGCAACCATTAAAGCTTTAAGGTGTTTGTGATCAATGAAATAGAAATGCTCAAACAAATTGGATGCTGTCGGAGCTGATGATCAGTTTTGAAGTGCTTAAAAACTAGTTTTTCAAAAAAAATAAAAAAAGTGCTTAAAAACTACGTTTCAAAAGTCTAATATATTTAATTCATGTTGATGATAGTAGTGTTTTTTTACTTTAAGGGTATATTAGACTTTTCAATTCCTCTGTTAAATATAACTGTCAATGTTGATGGTAAGGGAGGTCTTAGTCAATTTTGAAAAAGAAAGGGAGGTTTCAGTATTTAGGAGAAATATCAAAGAAGGTTTAAGTCTATACCCAAAAAATATAAAAACATAGGTTGCCATTTGTGTGCTGTGCGTGTGGGGTGATCGAAGTTTTTTACCCATATTAGTCCCGACTATTTGGGGTCTTGGGAGGGGGAGAATATAGGTATGGTTTTAACTTTTGACATTTTTTGGCACAAAGTGATTACTCTCGAACTCAAATACATGTTCTCACACTTGCCAGCCTGAGATTTCATGCACTTAAATATGTACAACTTTTCCAAATAAATCACCACTACAAAATTGTGGTGGTGAAAGCCTGAGCTTCTTTTATTCAGTCTTCACTAATGGTGTGTTTGGTTTGAAGGAAAAAGTAGGAAAAGGAAGGGAATGGTAAGAAAACCTTTACAAACCTTATATAGGTTTTGCTCCCTTTTCCTTCCTTTCCCTACCTTTTCCTTCAAACCAAACATAAGCTAGAGGAACCATCTTTATACCAAGCAAAAATTATGTCTTGAAGCTCAACTTTCAAGTTTCCCCAATAAGTCTATTCAGTTCTGCTCCTTCCACACCAATCAGTTTTACTTACAAAAAAGCAATTCAAATAACATGAGCAGCCTTTCCTCGCCCTTCTGTGAGTATCCCAAATCTTTTCAAATCTCTTATCATACTAAGCATAATCTTCTTTTCCATTGAGTATTATTTCTACCTACCCAACCCCATCAAACATCACTGTCAATGTGATTTTGTAAACCCAGAAACAAAAATAAAACAAAAAAAAAAGAAGAAAGGAAGGGGAAGGAATATAGAATCAAAAGTGAAGAAATTAAGTATTTAATCTATATAATATAAAGAATGAAAAAGGAGAGAACATGGTTAAGAACTTATCAAAACATATATACAACAAAATAAAAATCTAACAAAAGTGTGAAAAATCATATCAACATTAGTAAAACAATTAAAACTGACATTTGTTGCTAGAAGAAAAGAAAAAAGAAATGGGAAAAAGAGTTGAGAAATACCTGTAGAAGAAGTCTCTATCAAATCAAACCTGGTAAGAGAATAAAGCAAAATCATGAGCTCTCTCCCCGCCCCCTTATTTTCTCCATTTTCTGTTCCTCTAAGGTTCTAACTTCCATTCTTTAAAACATTAGGTAAGAAAATTTATGGATATGCTTTTCCTTCTTTTCATTACTATATCTTTCTTTCTTCAGTTTCTTCCCTTTCTAAGGGTGTTAATGGATTGGGTTTGGGCCAGGTCCATATACATCCAATCCTGAACCCTACCATAGACATAGGTCATGCTAGATTGTGGGCCCAATAATGGCAAAGGTGGTCCCAGACCTGGTCTCACCAAATGATCAGAATTAATTAAGTGGGTGGAAACTGACAAAATTCTATTAACACCAAAATCTAAATTTTATTGCAAGTGTACAATTAATAAGTAAAGAGAAAAACTTGAGTTGCCTATAAATTTTAGATTTAGGGATGCACAATTGGGTGGATAGGGTGCAAGTTGAAGACCAACCCATCTATAACCAGTTAACCACACATATATTAACAACCCATTTGTAAGCATCGGTTCAACCCGACCTAACCCACCCACTCCAACTCATTTAAATATTTGAAGTTATATTTGGGTAAACATGTTACTTTTGGATAAATACGTGTCCCTCGAAGATAGGATCAACATATTTACCCGCTACTTGACCTAGTATTTGAACATAGTTTTTAATATTCTAGGCTTTCTAGCCTTAGGAATCTTGCCATGTGGAACTCTTGGATTGGTCGTGATCATGGTCAGATTTTAGGTTCGACACTTCGACTTTACACTATATCGGGCTTTAGCTTTGGACCAAGAGTAGGTCTTGTGATCCATTTACCCAGATTTGACCCGCTGTTTAGAACAAAATTTTGGGCTATCACAAACTAGAAATCTTCCAGTTCCCACGTGTCACTACCAAGTTGGGTTGATCTACATATCCGAATTTTTACCCAGTGTCACTCTACCAAGTTGAGCCGGTTCAACCCATTAACCCAAAATTGATCCACAAGAAACATTAAGGCTATGTTTGGTTTGAAAGAAAATACAGGAAAATGAAGAAAAAAGTAGGGAAACTTTTTCAAACCTTTATATAGGTTTCTCTAATTATATACAGGTAATTTCTATGGTGCCAGAAAAGTATGGTACATGAAAAACTTAAGACACCCACGTAAATTTGGATGCTGTAAGTCAATGATCAAAATAGAGCAAAAATTAGTATTAATATACGAAAAACCAAGAAACTTTTTGAACTTGTTCTGATCTTGCTTGTTTTTTTCTCTTATAATGGTGCACTGTGATTCATCTCCTGCCGTCCTTTTAAGTTGCACCCATTTTTTAATCCAACAACTACTTTTGTTTCATCGGAACAAAATGCCAAAGCAAATAAACCAAAACAACTCTTCCTTTTGCATCTCTTTTGAAAACCAAGGAAGGCTGAAGCAAACAAAAGGACAAACGGAAAACCACGTGGTTGCAGCTGGTTTTGCACCCTCTGTTGTCGATCATTTGACAGTGAATGCAGCAAGTTGCAATCAGCCAACAACTCTCGCAGATTACAAAATACAAACTATACACAGGTGTAGCCCCTTGGTTAGCTTTCTCATTACCACCTCCATTCAAACCCTTGATGATGAATTGGGTTGATATATAAAACCCCTTTACCAGCCAACCCAGCTTTTTTTGTTCAGTGGTTGCAGCACATATTGTGCTCGGCCCGGCCTGGTCTGGTTTGCACTGTTGGGTTCAGATATTATAGTATAGGCAAGGTTCAAATTATCATAATGTATGGTTTCATATATGTTGATACGGTTAAATAAAGGCAATTCATCAGAAATTGCCACGTGGCTTATATTCGGGGCAAAACAAAGAATTCACCCACAAGCTGATATATTAGACCTCGTACACAAATAGGCACCCATCTCAAAGTATTAAACACCTTACGCCATACTAACACACCTCGTACTCACACCTTGCAATTACCATTTGCTTATTACTCACTACAAGCTTATAAATTCATGATCACTCTCCCTTTTTCATTTTGACTAACTTGAGCATCACAGACTCCATCCTTAGAAATGAGTTTTAGGGACCCTAACACATTCTATAACTACAAGTCGCCATGACATTCAAGTCTTCTAGCTATCTCCTTATTTTCCAATTTGAGCAGCAACAATACATATCATACAATGAGTTTAAATCAGCTACCAAAACACAGTCCCAACAACATCCCATCCCAACCAGCAATTACATCCGTGCATTAAGAACATCTCCACATAAATGACAAGCGAGATATTCCCAATGTGCGAGTTACAGTGACTGATTGGAACAATATGTATCACCGATACCTGAAATACTAATATTTGAGAAATATGACCATTTCTACCAAAAAAAATTAGGAAAATATGACCATCTTCAAAGCTTAATATCATTCTCAAAGGTGGTTATATTTTGTTGGGATAAGTGGATGCCAAAACACTAAGAATCAGCACGTATCGCCTAATAAATCAAGTAATACAAGATTTTTATTGTTTTTTCTTTTCGGGTATTACTCGCCATTCGGTGCTATACTAAACCTCCCCTTGACCCCTTTTCTTCCCAAAGTAGTAGTTGCGGGATTCGATTCCGCATCACTGTTAGAACAAATTAGTTAATACACCAAGACTTTTTCAGATCGAGCGTATCAAGAATACAAGAGGCAGTGGAGGCTACGCCTTCTGAGCACCTCCAAGGGAAACCCATCAATGTTAAGTTCCCTAAATCCCAACAGTTCAACAAAGAATCACCTCCACATGATTTGCGAGTTTCTCTTTTTGCCCATCGTTTCATGTTGTAATTGCCACGAATAGACTACTGATACAATCGCCATCAGATTTCCGACTGCCAACCAACCGACACTCTGCCTTCAACCATGGTCGTTCTGAAGTCCAGATGAGTCAAACTGTGTGTTTATCAAAGTGATGGTGAAACAGCTTGCTAGTTGCTACAGTCCAGGCTTGGGCCCAGGCCAGACCAGACTTGAAATCGATCCAAATCGAACTAAACTGTATTCAGTCAAATTAATTAATAGGGGAAGGAACCATGTAGGTTCGGCCGGGCCAAGAATCAGCCGCCCTCACCTCACAAACCCTTTATTCCTCCTTTCCGGAGCTACATTTTTTTTTAAATGGCAACTAGCGGAGCTGGCTCAGGAAACCTTATCCACTGTTAGTTGTTGGACTACTTTACGCCGACTCCCTCTTGTGGGCCCTACAATCTTATTTCGCGCCACGTCACTTCAAAAGTTCGAGTTGATAACCTCCCTTCCTCACGAGGAACCTTCCAGATCTGGACAGAGCGAGAATGCGAGATACGAAGCCCCTGTGCACAATGCGCACCAGCCTGTACACGTTATTAAAAAACTTACAAATGTTTTGTTTGCCGACATCAGGCCAATCCAACGGCCGACAGTTTTTGAGAGCTTTGCGCGGATCTTGATCTTGAAGATTTTGATCCAGTGAGGCTGATGCCTAATTACGTCTAATCCAGAAATGAAAACGATTGTAGAATATACAGATAAGACTTATTAATAATATCAAAATCAGCGCCGCCCTTAGTTGACACGTGTATAGCACTTAAATCAAACAAGAAACCCAAAAAGGAAAAAACGTGTTGAATTAGAAGGCTTTAGTCAGAGCCCAGAAGAGAAACCAAAAAAATCCTAACTGTATTAAGTATTAACTCGCTTTTTTTTTCTCTGCAGTATAAATACGAGGACAGCCCCCTCCGAACCAAACCCGTAAGGCCGTAAACGAGAAAACGAGAGCGATCGGAGATGTTTCAGGAAAATCTCTGGATGATGGGCGGCAACTTCTCGCCGTCGCCATCTCCCTTCCCCTCGCCTTGGACTCGGGTTCAGGACAAGCTCTTCGAGCGGGCTCTGGTCACCTTCCCGGAAGGGACCCTGGATCGGTGGCAGAAGATCGCTGGACAGGTGCCCGGGAAGACGGCTTTGGAGGTTAGAGATCACTACGAGGCTCTGGTTCACGATGTGCAGGAGATCGACTCGGGACGGGTGGAGGTTCCGGACTACGCGGATAACTCGTTCACGCCGAGTTGGGCTTCCGAGTGCCAGGCGAGTCAGATCTCATTTGGGTCGAAGCCGCCTAGGCAGACGGAAACGGAGAGAAAGAAAGGGGTTCCCTGGACGGAGGAGGAGCACAGGTCAGACGAATTTTCTGCAACTCTTTCTTTTCTCGATTAGAATTCTTCAAACCAAACACCTTCAATTGATCAACTATTTTACTTTCCCTCCTTTTTCTTTCTACGCGAAAGAAATATTTCCAAATAACGAGGTTAATTTAGTAGTTCCGTCTTATATTTTCAATATAGCCCGGTTACCGGTAGTCCCTCACAAAAAGTGTTAGGTTTCGACGTTTCGCTAGTTTTAAGTGTTCATGACTTCATGCTATTCTTTTTGTTTTTTTATTTTTTGTTAAATTTTTGACACATTTATGAATTAGAATTACCAATTTACCATGGAGAACGGAGATGGGACGCCGCTGCCCGTTGGATGAACCAGAAAACTCGAAGCCCACTGTTTTTTTGATACATGCGGCGGGCCTGTAGCGTGTTGGGTGTAAAGACATAGTTGCCCATGGACTATAACAGACAAATGTTGGAAACCTTTGTTTTTAATATGGATATTTTTGTCCTGGGAATTTTACAAAGAGAAATATTTCCTGGGATTATTTATCCATGGCAAAGAGAAGAGGGCGCTTGGTGCAAGTGCAACAAGAATTCAGTACCGGACAGGAAACCTCTTTTGAACTTGCCTTCTAAGCCTGGACTCTCGCTAGAAACGGCATTAATGGGCCCACCAAGTCATGGCCCATTTAGCGAAGGTGGATGAACTGTCCAAGTCGATGGCCCATTGTGTCTGACAGATAGACTTGAAGAAGGCCCAACAAGTCATACCGTACAGCTGGCGCGCATGCAGGTTGTTGGACTCATTGGGTCCCACATTTAATCTTGTTCACGATTCACATTCATGGGCTGTACTCGTGATTGTATGTACTGACTCCTGTCGGAGTCGGTTCTCATTCTTTGACCGCAATCCATTAATTAGATTAATCCTATGTGCCCCCATCGTTATCTGGTTCGGGTTGAGTAATGGAAAGAGAGGCAACAAACCCGACGCCAAAGGGAGATTTCAACCAATTTTGTGGATCGGTCCAACCGTCCAAGAGAATTTTGAATCTTAAGATAGAACTCAGTGGCTCAAATCTCAAAATGAATTAGTATTGCGTGAAGTATAGTAAAGAGTATAGGTGCAACTTGGGTTGGGCCAAATTAGTCTAAACCCAGGGCTGGGTTTAATCTAAAAACGAATCCAACTTAAGGCATTATTTGGTATTTATGGACTTATCTTCTCTTCGCAATTTAAATATCTACTATGAATACTGACTTTTTAATTGCAAAAAAGGAGATAGGTCAGGAATGCCAAATGCAGCCTAGCTTTGGGAAACATGAACCTGACATGCCTTTGCATACCATGTCTGCACATTTTAGCAAAAAGTGAAGAAGTCAAGACCAATCTAAACCCAACCCAATGATTTATGACTTGGATTACGGTTACAGTTTTGGGTTAAACAACTTAGATTTTGTTAGGGTTCATTTCAACCCTATACTATCCGGCACTATTTGCACCCTTATAAGAATTAAGACTGGGTTTGGTTTAGTTCGGTGGCTGGAAAAGGATGGGATGAAAAAGGGAAATTGGGTGTAAACTTTTCACGTCCTAATTGTCTGGTACTTTTCATGTTCTAATTGTCTGGTTACAAAGGGAAAAATGGTGGTAACATCAACTTCAATGACAAAAATTTGATTTGTTTTGAACTGTTTTTGGGTGCTTCAATGACAAAATATTGATTTGTTTTGAACTGTTTTTGGGTCTTTATCATTTTGGAATGAGTGAAAATACAGTACAAATCCTTCAATTTTGTATTTCCAAACTTGTATTTGCACTATACAAATTGTATTCTTCCCAAATTGAGCCTTAATTGCTCGGGTTTGTTGAATTAATAAAAATAATTTTTATTATTTCATTTACTCTTATTTAATAAGATGAATTATATATATGCCCATTTTCATAAATTTTCTATATTTTTACAAAATTTTGCATTATTTATTTATTTTTTACATTTTCATTACTTAATTATGATATCATACTACTATGTGACCTTGGTGGTTAAACCACTAAATCATTGGATCTAGTCAATGAGTTATATTATTATTTATAAGTAGGTGATAATTCTTGGCCCAACATTGGAAACCTAGTTCAACTCAACCCAAGCCCACACCAAGCTTAGAAAATTTTAGGTTGGGCTTGGGCCCAATAATCCAAGCCCGGTGTATATTTTATATGTTATATTATAAATTATATATTTATATTAAATAGTTAATATAAAATAAGTATTGGGTATTATATTTGACAATTCAGATATGGATACGGATATATGATTTGGAAATGCATGGATATGTTAATGAAACACATGCAAATTTTATAAATACATTAATAATATTATATTTAAACTCAAATAGTCACAAATAGTGTATAAATAAATAGGTAATGTATATTTTAATAGTGCATATGAAAAAAAAAATATATTATAATTAATATAGTGGGATGTATAAGTATCACATAATTTTATTGTTAATGCATTATTCAAAAAGTTCAAAACACATAACTTATGCATATATTTTATTTTGATTATTATATTGATTATTTTTTATTCTATTATTTTTACACTAACAAAAAAGTTAACTAAATATTAAATTCTCAAATATAAATTAAAATATCAATTAATAATTTATAAAAACATATAATCTCAATTTAAAATATATCAAATATATTAAAATTTCTAAGATATATATCATATGTAACTTTTTAATTATTAAAATAATGATTCCATTATTAATATTTTTATTATTATAGTTCTGTCTAAAATTAATAATGTTTTTTATACAAAATGTTGATTAGTATATTTGATAGGTTCTAATTAATATTATATTATCAAATATTTTGTAAACATTTTTTTATTTTTTAAATACTTAACATGTTATTATTTAATGTAATGTAAATTAAAGTATTAATTAATAATTTATATATATATTAATTTTAAGTACTAAAATAATTATTCTATTATTAATATTTATTATAAAAAATTCTTGAGATGAAAATCATCCTTTTATATTTTAATGTGGATTTATTAGATAATTTATTTCATTAGTTTATAAAATATTAATTTTGAATATTATTATTTTTTATTAATAATGAATATTATTTTATTGCAATGCGCTAACTGGCTAGTTGGTAAGGTCTTCTACTGATTGTAAAGGAGATTTAGGATTGATTCACGCATGCACCTGGGTTGGGAGGGTTATGGGTTGTGGGTGTTGGGAGATGGAAGATGGGATCCCCTTGTTTGTGCAGACCATGGAGCAAAAAAAATAATAATAAAGTCTTAGATGCATTGCACACTAGGCAACTTAGGTTCAAACCACCCCATCTTCAATTTTTAGTAGAAAGGTGTAGACATGTGACGTATGAGTCTGTATCGGTACATATTGGTAGATACAATGCGGCACAAATCGATACATGCTTGTATTAATCCAATATGCACGACTGGCAAGATACACTATCGGTTGTAGTGTATCTAGTATTGGTTATAATCGATATGATATGATATGCCATGTATCAGATATATTGTATCATTATGTCAATCCTTGTATATACATATTCATGAGTTAATATATGTGTCGACATAAGTCAATTCATGTATAAAAATTGTTCATCTAGGCATGACGTCATTCCCATTCTTAAACAATGTGTGGATTAGTATATGCAAGCAAGTCAAGTATTGAGGGTTGGAGCCAAGTTAAGCCAAATATTTAATCATGTGAGCTTGTTTTGCCATAGAAACAAAAGGCCCACATCGATCAATTTGAGTTAGAAACATGATCTTAAATTTGGCTCAACTCAAAAATTCATGTATTCAAACTAGCTTTATTCAAGCTTATAGTGAATTTCACAAATTAAATTTTATTGGGCTCAAGATTGGTTCAATGCTCAATTTAAAATTTTAGATATAGTAAAAGTGAACTTTTTACAAGTAGAATGTTTTTTTTTCTTTTTTTGGGGTCATTTATTATAAAACACTCTTTATAGTTTTATGAATTTATTAAATCCTACCTTATAGTTTGTGTTTTATTAAAATATCCTCTATAGTTTGCAATCAATTTACTTAATTAACTTTTCATTATATGAAAGTGGAAATACTAATTTTAACATTAACATAAATTCAAATATATTTAATCAAAAGAAACTAATAATAAAATGCCATTTTTGCCCCTAGTAAAACATGAACAACCACCCTATTTTTCTCTAATTAGACAATTTTGTTTTCCATACGAAAAAATGTTGGTGGTATTTTTGGAATAAACAACTATGGGTTTGTGCCCTTAAACATTTTCCACTTGGGGGTGTTCTTTTTTTTGGATTTTAAGAGAAGGGAAGTTGATCAATGGAATTTTGATTCCCATCGACCAAGAAACCCATATTATTTTTTCATATTTATATGGGGATCAGGGAAAGTTTATTTTTCTGGTACCCATCTCTTAGGTGGGTAAATAAATTTCTCATTTGGAGGGGGGGGGAGGGGAAGTTGCTAACATTTAAGGGGTGTTCTTTTTTTGGATTTTGAGAGGGGGAAAGTTGGTCAATGGGATTTTGGTTCCCATTGACCAAGAATCTCATATTCATTTTTTAGATTTATGTGGGGACTAGAGAAAGTTTGTTTTCCTGAGTATCATTTACTCGTGTAAGTAATACCTAACTCCTAGGTAGGTAAATAACTTTTTCGCTTAGGAAAAAAGTTGTTAACACTTGAATGGGACAAAAATGCCCTTTTCAATAATGGATTTTTATGGTTAAAATGATCATTATTTTATTTACTTAGGAAATAAAAGAACATGGGTAAATGAGCTTATCCAAGTAAGTGTTTTTCAGAAAAAAACTTATCCAGGTAATTGCATTTACCCAAATAAGTAATTTATTAAAAAGCGAATAGGGTCTTAAATGTGACAAAAATGTTTTTTTTAATAATTGATTTTTATGGCTAAAATAGTCATTATTTTATTTACATGAGAAATAAAAGAATATGGGTAAATACACTTATCCGAGTAAGTATTTCTTGGAAAACACTTACCTAGGTAAGCGAATGGGGCCTTAGTTTAGGTGATCGTGTTACTAATTCTTAATGAAAGGTTGATTAAGTAAATGGGTTGTAAATTACAAAGGGTGTTTTAGTAAATGGGTAAGCGAATGGGGCCTTAGTTTAGGTGATCATGTTACTAGTTCTTAATGAAAGGATGATTAAGTAAATGGGTTGTAAATTACAAAGGGTGTTTTAGTAAAATGCATAATATAGGGTAGGTTTAAATAAATTTATGAAATTATTGGGGTGTTCTAGTAAATGACCTCCTTTTTTTTCGCCTTATTAACCTATAGGGGTGTAAATGGATCAAATTTGAATCGGCAATATCTGATATTTGAATTTGATTCAATACTTGACAAATATTGAAAATTAATATTTAAATATTCGATTCAATTCGAATTTGACTAATTAATAAATATATAAAATAATATTTTATTTATTTAAAATATATAATTTATATAAAACATTTAAGTATCTTATATATTATATATAAAAATTAAATAATCAGTCGTATTTGAATATTTATTGAATTGAATTAGGTCATATTTAAATTCGAATCTGATTAACTATTCGATATGAATATGATATTTAAATTTAATCGAATTTAATTTGATTATGTCGAATCTCTAATTTAAAATTGGATTTTCGAATACTGTTCAACACCTATACTAATTTGCATCTTGTAGTTGCGTTGAAACAGGTTATTTTTAATCGGATTACAAAAATACGGAAAGGGCGATTGGAGGAGCATCTCGAGGAATGCTGTGGTGTCGCGAACGCCAACACAAGTGGCTAGCCACGCCCAAAAATATTACCTGCGTTTGAACTCGGTGAAAAAAGAGAAGAAGCGGTCCAGCATCCATGACATTACCACAGTAGACACCAACCCGGTGAATGTCGGACCCAACCCGCCAAGCAGTGGTCCTACACAGATGGTGGAAA